CAATCTGTGTTGGGAGTGGTCACAGGAAGGCTAACAAATACTAAATTCTTTTTTAATTGTTTTTTAGAGCCCAATAACTAACAAAGTTACTTTAAATAACTTCCAGATTATTAAAACTTAAGAAAGAAAAATCCATGTTTTAATTATTTCAAGAAAGTCTGGAAAAGGAATTCAGTCATATTTAAGTGTTATGTGAGTCTCTTGGATTAGAAATTTCCTTGTACTTTGACAAATGCAGTTTTACTGTTCTTTTGTAATATTGGTATTTACTTGTAATGCTATAATGCTGTACCTTACAAAGTCTGCTATGCACTTTATCCTAAAAAAAAGAAAATCCTTTTATTGGTCATATAAGACATGCCTTGGTGTTGATATTCTTAAAAACAATTATCATTAAAATACTTAAGACATATATGGAATAAATTCTATTATTGTAAGTTTGAAAGTACTAATTCAATTATTTTTTTTAACAGAGCATGTGGCGATCAGTTCCGAATTGTTTCACAGGATCTCCATTATCAGAAAACACTACTGCACTATCTTGAAGTTTGGAAACAAGGAATCTTGATTTAAAATTATCTTCTGTTTTTCTGTATAAGACTTCAAAAATTTATAATTGTCTCTAGAGTGGAAAGCAATGGACTTCATAAACATACCCCATTGATGTTGATATTATAACAATCTAAGTAATAAAAATGAATTGGATAAAATTCTATTAGCTGTAAGTGTACCCTGCCATTCCTAGATCCATTACCAAAACCTATAAATAATAAAATTAATATCTCATTGAACTGTTGGAAAACTTGAACATTCTCAATACATTGTTCACATACACAGAAGCAAATTTACAGACTGATTTCACCAAGTTCATTTAAATCCATATTAACTGCCTTTAATAGATGTATATCCAGTGATAGATCTGGATGCCCCCGAATTTTAAAAATCTAAAAGTTTAATGTTTTATCATCATTAGCATTTTTATCATAACATTGCCATTGTTCTACTCATAGCTACTATTACTTATATCACTGTCTTATACATTATTCTTATTTTTAAAATCATTACACTAGGATTATGATTACTAATCTAATTCCCTTTGCTATCAGTATATTATATTGATTAACATTATTATCTTTAATGCCATGTTATGATTTTTGTCATCTTTTTATACTTTATAATATTTATCATTACCGTTACTATACCACCTATTATTAGTTTCATTAGTCTAATTATCATAATTATCAATATGATCATCAGAATCAATATAATTTCTTTTATAAATACAATGATATTAAGGTTTTTACCTGGATGCCTCTCACCAGTAAATGTTTGCTATTGCCATTATTATAATACTTTTAGTAACATTTACACGTTCACACAGACTAATAAAAATCTGCTATAATTATACTATATCTCATTTTACCAGAATGGGTATCACTCTTACAGTAGATATGTTGGTTTCCATGAGCTTGATTTAATAAAAGCATTGTAAAGGTATAGTGGAGTATAGTATAGTAAAGGACAGACTTTCCTGGGCTCATGAACGCCTAACTAGCGGAGTTCGAATGGACATGCAATCCATTTTTTTTAGCAAATCTCCCTCTCCCCATCCCACCGCAACAAAACACAGTTAACCCACACATAAATTGTGGAAGCCATATGGATATATTACTTCTGGGTATTATTTATTTAACGCAGAACTGAATACACTGATGCGCTAAGTATGTAATTATGTGAGAACTGTGTCATGCGCATGTTGTGTGAAAAGCGCTTTTTGTCTAAAAGATGAAACTATGCATTTTCACATTCGCACCCCCCCCCCCTTGTCATAGACTCGTTTGATGAATAATGACCATGAAACTTGGTAATTGTAATAATATATGAATGGTGACTGATAACAATGATATGAATTAAATTATGGCTAATGATAATTATCATAATCAACAACATTATGAACAATTTTATCACAGTATTCCGTCATCAATTTCATTCATAAACATTGCAATTAATATCACCTATATTCATTACATCACAATCACCTTCACCATTACAACCCGAACATACTGTGTTGAAAAAAAGTAGGAATGACCTTATTATTAGCATTTTTTCAGATTTAATAATTTTCATTTTCGATTAGTAACCAACCTCCACCTTCTCCTTATTCATAATACTCTCACTCTCCTTATTAACTTTTCTTCGGAACTAAAAACACAAAGCTTATTAATAAACACTGAGATAGAAAGTGCATAGTTGATGTGATACAGAAAATATCGTATTCAATTGTGACATTGTTTGCTGACTGTAACCTCCCTTTATTCCAGTTGTTTGGGAAGTGATGCATAAATCCGGATAGATTTTATTTGTTTATTTGTTTATTCGTTCATTCATCCAGTCATATATTTGTTTGTTCATCT